TCATAGTAATGTCTGGCTCATCTTGGATGGATATCCAACAAAGCTGTCTTTCTACTCTCAGACCTGAGGTGGTAAAAGAAGGGTAGGTAGGAGAAAAAAGCATAACTAAAACTTTAACCATTAGGAAGACAGAAAGTTCTGGGACCCAGTTGAAGTAATCCAAGGCACTCCATCTTGACATTCCTTTGGTGATGTTTAGGCTCTTTTCCTTTCAAAACTATCATACCCTGAATTCCTCCAGGGCACTGAACACCTCTAAAGGCCTAACTGAGAAAGGACCAGTAGCCTGATCCTGCAATAAAGGAGCAAGTTAAGAGAATAAAAAAATTGCCTAAATTACCTATTCAAAACTCAAAAAATCACAACAGTTGGTGCCTGTACCTGTAAAATGGGATGCTATCCTGCGGGTGGGGGCTTTCTCTGTTCAGCACACCCACCTTTTTAAGAGGAGTATAGGCAACAATATGTAGTATAACAATCTTTATTGAATTTGCAACATTTTGTTTGTGAAATTCTGTATCATTTCTAATGTTTTATTTTTTTTAAATTCTCTTTAAACACATAGTATAATCTCTGTTCCTGGAAATAATTCACCTCTCTCTCAATGGCCCATATTGTTTGGATGAACTTGTACTAGAATTTCTGCCTAATAAGCCTTGCCACAGCCTCTTACTCATGCATTTTGAGTATTCTTTCTCTGTGATAGGAACCGGGGACTCTGCCAACCGGTGATCTAGTCTGTGTCTAGGGTGAGATACGTTGCTTATCTCAGTTTGAGGAACCTCCTTAGATCCAGTGTGAGAACTAACCAGCTCAGTGCTCCAGAGAACTCTGTTTCACAGCACTTGCTGTAGTGCACTGGAGTTTTTGATCCTGTGTCTCCCTGTGTATGGACTTCCCACTTCTGGGGAGCATTGTCCAAGGGATTCTTGTTCTATTTTTCTTCACCTTTTTCAAAATAGAATCCTTCTTAGATCAAATGCTTGATTAAATGGATGAATAAATGCATCAATGAGTTACCTCTTCTTCTCTTGAAAGTGTACTGAGTTCCAGCCATATAAATCTACGTATGTCTCTGGAAATGAACTCCCTGTTTTCTTCAAGTCTTTGTTACCATTTTGTTATCTGTACTAGGTTGGTTTTATTTCCCACAGATATATCCATATCTTAACCTCTTGTGCCTGTGAATGTGACCTTATTCGGGAAAAGGTCTTGACAGATTTAATTAATGGATTGATTTCAAGAAAAGATTATCCTGTATTAGAATGTGTCAAAGAAAAATTGCACTAGATAAATTAAGCCAGTAATTTTACTGGTGACTACTGAGATAAAGAAGAGAAGTTGGATTCAGGTCCTCTGAAACAAAAACCTGGAGTTTTTTTTTTTTTTTTTTTTTTTTTTTTTTTTTTTATCAGTGTGTGTTAGTACTGCAGAATGTTGGGATTTGTTTGAGAAAGTTGATATATGCATATTCCAGTGAGCTAATGGGAAGAAGAAGACAGTAGAGAGAGTTATTAAGTGACTGATTAGATCAATGTTATGAATTTGCTGATTTTCGCTTCCTTCAATTAGGCTCCTTGACATCCCATAGGTAATGGGAACTCATGCTATCTTTCCTGATGGTTAAATTCAAAGGAAGGCTCCAGGTCCTAGTCCCAGGTTTTCCAGGCCCTAAGTTGTAAAGCTGCCCACATCCTGGGAGGATATTTCTTTTTAAAGGGCTAAAAGATGATTTACAAGGGAAAGTTTTCTCATGAAAATTTTATGAGAAGCCAAGAGGATATTTGTCTAAAGTTTAGTCAAACTGAGGTGAATGGTAAGGTCTTAGTTATGTGGGCCTTAGATCCAATGGCAGTATCCCTACATTCTTATAAAAAGTGTCCCAAAAGGAGAAGACATGGATTCACAGAAGGAAAAGACTGTGTAAATACAGAGACAGAGGTAAAAGCAATGTACCCGCAGTCTAGGAATACCAAGGATTTCCAACAGCCAACAGAAGCCAAGAAAGAGACAAGGATTGGATTCTCCTCTAGAGTTTTTGTAGGAAGTCACCATGCCAGCAACTTGATTTAGGATTTTTGGCCTTCATAACCATGAGAAAATATTTTTTAAAAGATTCTCTGCTTACAGTAATTTTTTGAAGCAGCCATGAGAACCTAATACGCTTTTTTTCTGGAAGTGTTTCTCTATCTCCCATTTAGTTTAAAAGATCAAAACTGTGTCTCATTTAAGGTTCATCAAAATTGTTTTGTCCCCTATTAATTTTTCTTATAATGGATAGCACCAGTTAGAACCATGGCTTCCTCTTGTAAATTCTGTTGATATGATGGTGATAAAGATGTTACAGTTGAAACACATTCACAGTTTTACATCTTATCTCTTTCTATATATTTACAACTCATGTCCTTTTAATTTCTATAAGTCAAGGACAATTATTTTTTCCATCAAGGATAAAATAACACTAAGTGGCAAAACCAAAATTTGTTTTGAGATCTGCCTGAGTGTGATGTCAATTTGTTGATTAGTACTTTTCTCCTTTGACATAAAGAAGAATAACTCTGAGATTTTTGAAGGAAAATGGAAGCACTTTTAGACCATAATTTTGGGTAAGATAAATTGGACCCATAAGCTTGAATATGCATGATTTCTGATATAAGAGAAACCCAAATATAAAGAACAAAATACAAGATGAACAATAGGAAAAATGGAAATAGGTCTTTTGTAAAGAAGACTCAAGAGATGGAAGGAGGGGAGAAAGAGGAGATAGGAAGGGATGAAAGCAGAATTAAAATGCATTTACATGTGCAGGAGTCTACGCCCCACAAATATGTACTAAACAAAAAAATCAAAATTAAAAAACAAAGGCATGTGATTAACCATTCTTAAAATACCTTTTTTCAGTTCATATCACTGAATGTTTACTATTTTGTGTCTCATCTTATCTTGTCAAGGTAATGTGCTTGAATACTTTTAACCTTTAGATTATTTTAAAATTGTGTCTTATTTATATTTCTTGTAGCATTTAGCATAATTCTTCTGAGTATTAGAAATACCCAGATTTCATAGAATAAATAAATTAACCCAAAGGTCATTCCTTGCATGTCTTTCAATCTCCAAGCTTTCCAGGGTCACATTTCTCTTTAATGTCTTAATAGGCTGGTGAGAGAAACTCACATCATTCTGCTCAAAATAATTCTGAAGATTATAGGCTGGGAGAAGCTCTATTTTCTCTGGTATCCTGTCATGTCAGTTCTTTTTCTTTGAACTCCCACTTTCGCTATCCTCTAGCTTTACTTTGAAAGTTTCTATAATCACAATTGCGCTAACAAATATTACTGTGCTGGCATCAATGTGTGATAGATTTTTTGCAATGGCTAGGAAGATAAAGAAGATGAAAGCATATCATTGCTTCATGCATACAACAACATGCAAGCATTCATGAAGTGATGGCACTGTGAGGGGTGCCAAAGAGATGGTAAAAGTCTCCATGACCATGTAACTCATGGTCTAGTTATGAAGACGTAAACCCCACACAGGCATGTGATAAATGTGAACTTGTGTCTGGGATTGTGATAAAGGTAAAGCTGATGATGGATTCAGAAGTGTTGACCTGAATCTCATAGCTGGTATGCTGATAGCAGAAGGATAAATAGACATTGGCCACTCCTGAAACATGTATGGAGGGTGTGGGGGGAGGAAGTAGAGGAAGGTTGACAGCATGTACTGGCAAGCAATAGTGAGACAGAATCAGCTACCCCACAACAATTGAAAAAAAAAAAACAAACAAAAAACAAAACAAAACAAAAACCTGTGTATAGGGATACAGATCTCCAGGCCAAAAGGGGAGAGAAATGACTTTAGAGAAAACATGGTAAATTGTTTTTAGCAAGTGCATTGCAAGGTTATTATCAAATGTGATCTTAATCTTAAAATGAATGGGGAAATATTGAAGTACAAGATTATAGGAAAAAAATCTGGCTCCACTGTACAGATAAGGATGAAGTAAGCAAGCAATGGTAGATACAGGGGTTGCAAAACAGATGTTGGTCCACATGAAAGGTGACTAGAGGAGGGATGGTGAAGATAAAGATAATTAGAAAGATCTGATAAGTGCTGAGCACAGTGCGGAGCAGTAGGATCTGGTGCCATAAAGATAGCGTAGGAGAAGGGTCAAGAACACAATAGCATAATTAATAACTTGAACAAGATTCAATGTTAGGCACTCTAGTCCAAAAGGTTGAGCAGACTTCTTTTGGATATGGAAAATTTTCAGGCCCTATCTCTCCTTCGGCTTTTCCTTAAGAAAGACTCTCTTTTTTTTTTTTTTTAAAGAAAAAAAAAAAAACCATCCTCCACTATATCTTTTTGTTTTACAAATGTCTGGATACACACCATTTCTTCATACTAACTTTAACAGAGCAATTAATATGCAGCTAATTGGATACTGAATGTCCCTTAGCTTGGTGGCTAGCTTTGTCCTGCCAATGCTTTCATCAAGCTGTTGCTAGACTACCGTGTCTCACCCTTAATGTTATGAATACCTTGGAAAAATATTGAATCACACCGCTTTCAGTGTACCTTAGATCAAATTCTTGGCCTCAGGCTTCCATCAGAGTTTCCATATTTGTAAGGCTGAGTGTGGAGATAGGCATGAAGATCCTCATTAGGCATTACCAGCTTCATAGCTACGTAAACCCTTCATATCCTGAACATCTCACTTGCTACTGACCAGTATCACTATATGAGAAGTAGCTGTTTTATTATTTCTAGTTTTCCTACTATATGTTATGCTCACTGTCAGATATTTGTGCTGATAACCCGAGAGTTCACAGAAGCTAAAATCTAACCTTTAGTGGTCTACACAAAGTATTTTATGTTAACAATGTAGAATGAAAATAATTAATAATGAATTATGATTTTTAAATCTTTGTTTCTAGGAGAAAAAAGAATATGCATACCTGACTTTGGATCTGTTTTTTTTTTTTTTCTCTCTTTTGAAGGGAACGTCCTTCTCTTTCAGAACTTCCCATGTTCTCGTATCCAGATTTCTTCACCAAAGCGGATAAAGAATTGGCAAAAATTATTGACCATCACGTAAGAATGGCTTTTCTTAAATTAACATTATAAGCTTTGTTCTTTAAATGTATTTTTGTATTATAAAATGTAGTTCTTGGACTGAAATATTAATATGCAGCATTTAAAGTAGAGTCTTAATTGCTCATTGCCAAGCTTAATTTTATCTTACTATCTTTTACATAATGAGATATACAAGATTTTCTACAGCTCAGTGCCTTTGCTGGATTACAGAAAACTTGGCCTTCTGTCATTTGCGCACTGTTAGCCTAATCCAGTTTCCTGAATTAGGACTCCTTTCTTGTGACAAGTCTCTGATACTGAACACTGCACACTGATTTCTTCTGCAATGCAGTTCTAACAATGGAACAGAAACCTTTTGACTCAATTTTCAGTGATCATTCTTTATCCTTGACAGATCAGAAAGAATTTTAATTACTTTGCAATTAGTATGAGTAAAACAAGCAATGACAATGTAGGACTGTTCACATAGGACACTCAAGTCATTCTGCTATATTTAGCTGATTTTTTTTACCTAATGCACATCATTTTATGTCTACTTTTTAAGTAGTAGAGCTACAGTAAGAGAAAGAGACTAATATTTTCTGGTTTTTGTCAAATACCATATGGATTTAATAGCACATAAAATATTTTTCTTTTTATCACCAGAAGCTCTATCAAATTTTGATGTTAAAATATTAATTTTTCACATTTTACCTAGTAATCTCTTAAGAAAAAAATAAGTGATTGTTTCTTTTGCTGATCACACTGAATGCTGACTTCCACAAGCTTGTATCTAGGCCACTACAGCAAAAGTTGTAAGCAGTAGAGTTTAATACTGATTGGTATCTTTTTTATTATTAATTTTATTGAGAAATAAATAGCAATGAGACAGTTTCAAAACAGTTTAGTAAGACAGTTACAATAATTAACACATTACAAATTGTCTTCGTAGTAGTTATTCATAATACAAGATGCACACATGATATCTTGTCCAAACACTATTAGTACAAATCTTCCTTCTCATTGAATTAAGAGAAAGTAGCTGTATATCTATCCTATTTTGTATGTATATATTTCATTATAAAATAGTCCTTCATTTATATCCCCTGTTTTGTTCAGTTTTGTCAGAGATGGGTATTCCACTGCCACTTAAATAGTGTAGGTACATGAACTCAGCAAAATAATCCAATATAGTCCAGTAGTCCATAATAGTAGTGGGTTATCTGTAGGCAATGTCAGAAGTTGTTGACTTGAGCTTTTTGCAGCTCAACATATTAATATGGCTTTACTTTTTATACGTCATTTTTATACTTTGCTGCTGGATGATTAAGACCAAAATAAAGCAAGACCTATATAACAAGAAATGTAACTTTGCACCCCTCCAGATGCAGCCCAAAGAGATGTAGAGGAACTGATGGGTATCTTAAATCACTGAGACCTATAACAGTGCTCTACTAGTCACTAATATAGTGTTTACCAAAGAAATATATTATATGTACAAGGAATTCTCAAAAATGTCTAATGCTTCATACATTTCAACTTCTATGCTTAACTATTTACTTCAACAAAATGATCTTGAATAGATTACAATAGGCAACAACATGCTGTTGTATATTCTATGTACTATATGTAATATGATGTATAGCTTTTAATACAAGTCTAGGGGTAGAATTTACACACAAATCTTTGAGTGTGCTAGGGATGTTTAAGACTACCTAACAATAGAGAGGGCAATATTCTGAGTTGGAGAAAAGAGACTTGTAACGTCATGATTTGGTATAAGCATCATCTGCTGATCACTGCCATGGGGAAGTTATAATGGAGCTACAGGGAAAGGAGTTCTGAAAACACACATGAAAACTTTGTGTATGAGTTCTAAATTGATATGGAGCTTAATAAAATAATATGTATTTTTATTTGAGAAAGTTTATGGAAGTATATATATATAATATATATATATATATATCCATATATATGAGATATATATAGTGCTTTCAAGTGAATAGAGTAGTTCTTTGTATTTGTATTTTATATTTTGCAAAATTGTCTTATGTTATTTTATTTAATCCTCACAGTAATCCTGTAAAAATGTATCTACAAGAAGAATAACATAATGGTTTATAATTCAGGTTTTTGCTCAAAGTTGTGAGATTAATATACATGACTGAGTCTTTGCATAGAACCAGATCTGTGGACTTCTGATCTATTTTCCTTTTCACTTCTATGTAGATTATCAGATTCTTATTTTATGGTCCCTAATTAAAATTGGAGATCATAGGGTGTGGTCTATAATACTGAAAGAAACAGCAGACATCCCAAAAGTTAGGTATAGTATTCTCTCTCTGAGCCAACTGCTTTTATTTGAGTGGTTGGAGTATGCAAGGAATAAGAGAGTTACTACGCTGTCCAGCAGGCAATAAGGTACCTTGTACTTTGATGTAACCAATAGCATGGGGAATGAATCTCTAAATAAAGGGGATGAATACAGAAATAAATGGTGCTTTCATTTCTTATCAACTTCAAGAGTATTTTTATTTTCATAGCTACTGCACTGGCAAGAAAAAATTCGGATAATGCATTGATTTATCTAAATTGAACTAGCCATGTGCAAGCAAAATAAAAAGCAACTTATTTTTTCCTAGCTACTGAAAGGAATTTTGATGTTATCTTGAATTCCAGGCATGCTGATTTCCAAAGATAGGTTACCAAAAAAAAAAAAAAAAAAAAAAAGAAAAAGCTGTCTCCTGAACAGTAATAATATGATACCTCTTCCTGGATGCTTTTATATGTATTGATGCATTTATACATAAATTTGATTTGGAAAAACAAGTATTTTACTGACAGTTTTTAATATTTAATTCTCTGCTGACTTTTCACAATATTAGACAAAGTATGAGGTACACCAAAATCTCTCATATGAGGTGCATCAATGACTTTTGTAGATATTATCATGGTTATATCAACTGCCACTTTTATACTGCCATTAAAATTTATATTTTTAAATGATTAGATTATTCTTTAGTTTATATAGGAAAAAGTTATGTGTGATTATTGAGTATCATATGACTTATGGACTAAACCCAATAATAAACATTTGACTGTACCTGAATTTTCTGGCTATCTCATCTCAATTTTCTTTACATTTCACACAAAAATGGTTTCTGGCAAACCACTTACATGATTAATAACTGTGTGTAGATAGAATATTAATACAAGTTGGTAATTTGTATTTCTTATGTTGTAAAACTTGAGCTGAGATAAATAATAAGTGCATGTGATATTATGCTTTGGTTTGTAATACTGATTCTTTAGTATTTAGACTTTTCAATCAATTGCCCTCCTCAAGGGTACACAACATGCTGTGGTCGGAGCTTTAGTTCAGTTTATTTTCATGCATATAACTCAGAAAACAAATAGCCACGATTCATAGTACTTTTACATAAAATTTTCTACAGCTTAGACTTCCTAGGTAGCTCAGTCTGTTCATTTGTATACATGCTTCTACTCTGTGGGGGTGACAGAAAGAACAGTGTTATAAAGCCTTTCCAAAACTTTATGCGAGGAGTCATTCTACCTTGAATATTTTACTCAGTCTGCAGAGGATCTGCCAGTCCTGTAAGCATTCTCTTCATGAGATGCTTTACAAAGGGAAAGAAGTTTCTCATGACAATGTTTGGCTTGTCATCGTCATTACTTTCAACACTGATTACTCATTCCTAGGGTTCTTGGCAGCAAATATGCCATGGTTGTTATAAATTAACATGGTCTGTGTAGATGCACCCCTTGAAGGTAGTTTTGCTAGTCTGATGCAGAGTGAGCATTCACTCAGCTGTTAATTTGGCTTTTAGTCTCATGTCGAATAATATCACAATTTATGCTGTTTTAAAAATTTATATTTTCTCTACATTTTTGTTTTTCTTTAGTTTGGTTGTATATTTTATGACCCATGCTGACATATGGATATCAGTATTGATGAAGAAAGCTAAAACCATTGATATATAGCAATGAAAGTCTGTTATTTCTTCTTGTGACTGACTTGTTTTCTTTAAAATATTAAGGAAATTCTTTTTTCATTGTGCTACAATATATTCTAATAGGTGGCTCATTCATTTTTCTGATACAATAGACTGTAAGATTCCTGAAAAATAGCTATGAAAAGATTAAGAAGAAAACTGGATATAAGAATCTTCATTTTAAGGAGCATGTTTTTCATCAGAAATCATATTCATAATGAAATATTTTCTCTGTCACAGTGGCAGAAAGAGCTGGAGATCCAACAAAGAGAAGATGCAAGATGTGAAGCTAAAGAACAGAAAGATAAAGAGTTGGAGGAGAAAAAACACTTCCAAGAAATTATGAAGCAAAGAGAAGCGAAGTTGCACAAGCAAACTAAGCCCTACGAGCTTCCTCCCAGGACTTAAGTAATCTCCTTAGGAAAAAAAAAATCACTCACAAAAACATTGCGGTTGACATGCCAGAAATTGCTAGCACAGAAAAGATTGAGATTTTAGACTCTTCTTTTGACAAATGAGTTGTTATCCTGGTGCAAGTTATCTAATAGTCATTGCTTAGTCTTACATTAATAGTCAACTACGTTATAATCACATTTGAAGGATTTCGCCAGTTATAAACTTCCAAGACTACAGCTAGTGCTTTTCTCAATTGATTCTATTCTTGAAATGTATAGTACTCTTGGTCATCCATTCTCAGAGTGCTGATATTCTTTGGACTATATCATAAAATGAACTGCAAATTAATGAGTCAGTGTATGAGTATTGTTTCCTAAAAACAGCTATCATTGTCTTCTACATCTATAATTACCATTATTCAAATAAAAGAACTTACGACATCTCTTTGGACTTGCATTTTATCACCAATTTATGCCAGACTAAATCTTATGTTAGATACTTGAGCTTGATAAATTACTGTACATGAGTGAATTTTGAAGTGCCAGTCACCTCCAACTGGGTTGATCTTTCCCAAATGCCAGAGGAAATCTCTGAGCAGCAGTGGTTTTACTTTGCCTGAGGAGTTGATGAGAATGGATTTGTATGATGCTGAAGGCTCAGTACCAATTATTGGAGGCATCATCCAATCAGAATTTATTTAAAAATGACATTTTACTTCACCTGAGGCTTTCAAACCATGAGCAAGTGTTAAGAGATTGGGGTCCTGTGATGCCTTTTATTACTTTTATAAAAAAATTATAGATAATTTATTTTCTATTTTTCTTCAATTTTAAGCATGGCATAGTAATAGTCAAACACAGGTATCAAGTCTGGGGATGGTGGCACATCTGGGGATGGTGGCACTGAAAACAGGAGGATCACTATGAGTCCAAATTGTGTAGCGAGACTCTACAAAATACATAAATAAATTTTTGAAACCCCACACAGGTACCTTTTCATGATGTCAAGTGATTACACAGGTTGGGGAAGTAACATAAATTAGTGAAAAAGGCTAGGGAATACCTCACCTCTATAAAATAGTTGCCCAACACTCTGAAATTTTTGCCCAGCATTATAAAATTTTCAAGTATTTCAAGAAGAAGCCCCCACCTGGGATTTACATGTTTAAAATTGGAAATCCTTAAGCTTTCTAAGGTTGGCAAATAATTTTTAAAAAGTTATATACTTTTAGACCTATATTATATGGCATTGAGGAATGATTCTTTGTTTTATATAACAAAAACATGGCAGAAAAGAAAACATTGTTAAGTAGGTGCCCACAGGTTTCTGCTGTTTTGTTTAGCAAAATCATGAGGTGGGTGCAACATGGGGAAAATAAAATCCTGTGATCAACCGTTAAGATTACAAGTACAGCTGCTCAGGTAACACTGATCCAGTGGAAAGCAGGTCATATAGCAAGTGTACATGGAAAGAACAAGGACCTTCTTAGGAAGAGATGGATCAGGAGGTCCTGGTCACCAACCTGAGTGACTGATGCCTATCTAGACTTCATTGAACTAGGTCATAATAATTGTAGCATATTGCTTATCTCTTGGGGAGGCGCATAAACCTGGTCATTCCGTCTCTATCTGGAAGCCTACTCTTCAATGGGTTTGCCTCCAGCCAGAGTTGTAATGGTTTTCTTCTGCTTTGACTCTCCTGAGGGCGTAGCCCTGTTTGACTGCCTCTTATAATAGTCCCATTTCTGTGAATCTTACTCATTCAAAAATCTTGTTTCATCATTGCCTGGTTTCTAACTCCCACGATTTTCTTTACATTTCCAATGTGCTATTATTTTCTATCCCAGTGGATTCATAGACCTGTTGTGATGAAGCTTTTGCTCTCACAGTAATAGTGATTTGGAAGGTAGAAAAACGTCCCTGAATTTATATATAGATAAGTGGAGAAAGGCAGGGAGAAAAAGGGAGAGCAGAAGAGAAGTGGTTAGCATCTTTACTTCTATCGCATTAAATCACTTTTTTAAAGTTGGAGCACAACCTCTCAGTTTTCTTTGGGTTTCTCAGATACTTCCTGAAATATTAGCAGAGCTTGCACTTGGCCATCAGGGTCTGCCCTCCTGCTAGCTGTGAAGGAGTTGACACCTTACAGTTCCACTCACACTTCACTTTGTTCGTTTTCCTTAATAGACAAAATTTATTAAATGTTGGTTTCAATCAGAAGCTAATTAAGAAAATCAATCCCTAACCATCTTAGCAGAATTTAACACAAGGAATTGTTTTAAAAGGTGTTAAGTGAGCTGAGAAAATAAAAAGAAATCAAATAACATAGAAACAGGTACTCAGGAAAGCACTACCACCCCAGAGCCATGGAATAGAAAGGTTTGCGTTGTTAGAATCCAGAGTTCCGAGCAAAGGCTTCTCCAGCGGAACTCAGATCAGTGGCATGGGAGGCTCCAAGGGCCACAGTACGTCTGGTTCTGAGAGTGCTGAAAAAAAAAATAGAACTGGAAAAACAATGTCTGTTTCTGAAACCACACTTCCAGAAAGCGCAAAAACGTGTAAAGCATCCGGGTCTCCTTCTTTCCCTTTCCCCTTCATGTGTTCTTGTTTCCAAGCCTCACAAAGCAGAGGAAAGGAGGCTGTGTTTGAGGTTGACACTACTCAAATGAGTAGAATGGACGTGGAGCCCGGGGTAGAGAATGCATTAGACTATGCAACAATGGGAAGTGCTCTCTCTGCTTTTTATTTTGTGTTTTTGGTCCTCTATTTTGCTTTTTCTGCAAGCTTTCTCAGGATGAGAAAATTAGAGAAAGAGTAACATTTAAAAGTAAATATAAATGGCTAACTTTAAGATAATGTCAAAGAAACTGCACTAGCGTTCATTTCCACAACCTTTAATTTTTCCCTTACATACTTAATACAAGCTCTATTAGATTTCTTCAATGCTGTGTAAGTTACATTTGGTAGTAACTTTACTTCAAAGCTCATGAAGAATTCTTGGACTTTCATGCTAGGCAGGATATCAGATGGAATCTTTTAGTTATTCATTTTTGATCAATGTATTTTTTTTCAGGTCTTGTTATTTATTTTTGTATATTTCCCTCTTTAAATTGAAAAGAAGAAAAAGAAAAAAAACAGAACGCTCCTCCAGGTCTCCCTGCCTCCTGTGGCTCTTCCTTACCTATCAATGTCCTACTCTTAAGAAGTGTTAACCTAACACAGGGACACATCTCTTGGTGGGTAAAAGTTATTTCCATGCCACTGTGTCATGTATGTTTACTTCTACTTTGAATTAATAAATCAAAGTTTGCTGCATTCATTTACAGTGAGTTCTTTTAGTAACCAAGTCAATTTTTTCATACAAAATACTTCATGTAGCTTTTACTTTCTGTGAATACATTTCGCACAAAATTTTTAGTTAATTTCACATAGTATTGGAAAGTGAAAGATATGTGTTAGAGGACATGAATGAATAAATGATAAATGGTACATTCTGAGTAACATAAGCATAAAATGAGCAAATTTCCTTATTTTAATTTTAAAATAAAGACAAATCAAATGATCCATAAGTTTTTTATTTTATTTTATTTTTCTTACCTGAGTAATTGTTTACTTTCTTGGTACTTTTTTATATTAATTTTTTTGAGAAAGAAGTAGCAATGAGACAGTTTCAAAACAGGTTAGTACTAGACCCAGTCCTAGCCCAGGTCCGGTGAGTGTGTTGGGAGAGCTTCCTGCTACCTGCGCCTATGGGACCAGTCCCAGCCCAGGCACAGCATGGGCCAGACCCTCTCCCACCCCCATGGAACACCCCCCACCACTCTGCAGCACCTCCCCCACCCGGCCCGCGAAGTAGGAATTTCTGCCACGTTCTGGGAACCCCCAGACCCAGTCCTAGCCCAGGTCGGATGAGTGTGTGGGAGATATTCCTGCTACCCTGCGCCGGACAGACAAAATACCGGTCCCTTCCCAGGCGCAGTGTGGGCGAAACCCTCTCCCACCCACTTGGGACGCCCCCCACCACTTCGCAGCACCTCCTCCACCCCACCCACTTAGTTGGAATTTCTGCAGTGTTCCAGGAACCCCCAGACCCAGTCCTAGCCCAGACCCAGTGAGTGTGAGGAAGAGCTTCCTCCCCCCCCTACTCCACCTTGCCCCCTCCAGGCACAGCTCAGGTCTGGCATACATGCCTGGGGTGTAACCCTGCAGCTGCAATCCCTGCAGAGAGTGCAGAGGATAGATACACCCAGATAGTCCAGGAGCAGAACATCTTGCCACAGGGGCACAACAGGTTCAACCTCAAGGGCAGCAGCGGGAAGGAGCTGAACACAGCAGCCAGACCCAAGCCAGGCACAGCTGGATAAGTCCAAACTTTGTAGAGCTGCACCTGAACTTCAGTACCTGCGAAGGTTATAACTACAACAAAGATCTACAACAAAGGTCAGAAGACAGTGCTACACAAAATGAAGAGAAGGAACAAAATGCAACCTCAGA